TTTTATGTGGTGCTGGGGATCGAACCCAGTGCCTTGCGCATGCCAGGCAAGCATGCTACCTACCATTTGGGCCACATCCCCAGCCCTTTATTTTACTTTTTATTTTGAGAGAGGGTCTTGCTAAGTTGCAGAGACAAGCCTTGAATTTGTAATCCTCCTGCTTCAGCCTCCCCAGTGGCTAGATTGCAGATGTGTGCCACTGAACCCAGACAGAATAAATATTATATACCTCAGCTTCTACTATTTTACACACCATGCCTGGAAATCAATAACAAATTACAAATAACCCAAAAAAGCAAGAAAAACAACTCACTATAAAGAAGCAAAGTAATCAATAGGACCAGACCTAGAAATGACCCAGAAATGACCCAGATATTGGACATATCAAACTAACAATTTAAAATAATTACAGTGTGCAGCCTGGGTTCGATCCTCAGCATCACATACAAATAAAGATGTTGTGTCTGCTGAAAACTAAAAAATAAATATTAAAAATGGGCTGGGGATGTGGCTCAAGTGGTAGCACACTTGCCTGGCATGTGTGCCGCCCGGGTTCGATCCTCAGCACCACATACAAAGATGTTGTGTTCGCCGAAAACTAAAAAAATAAATATTAAAATTCTCTCTCTCTCTCTCTCTTTAAAAAATAAATAAATAAAAAATAAAATAAAATAGAATAATTACAGTGGAATTGGGGGTATAGCTCAGTAGTAGAGTATGTGCCTAGCAGGTATAAGGCCTAGATTTGATCCTCAGAATCTCCAAAAAATAAAAATTAAATAATTATGATTAATACATTGAAGTCTCTAGTTAAAGTTAGGGAGCAAGTGGGAACAAATATGGAATTTTATTTTGTTACAAGTGATTGAGCCCAGAAGCACTTAACCACTAATCCACATCAGCAGCCCTTTTTATATTTTATTTAAACATGGGGTCTCTCTGAATTGCTTAGTGTGTCAATAAATTGCTAAGGCTGGCTTGGAACTCGTGTTCATACTGACTTAGCCTCCCGAGCTGCTGGGATTACAGGCATGCACCGTGACGCCCAGCTAAATATAGAATTTTAGTAGAAAAACAAAAACATGAGTCAAAATGGGAGAAAGTAAAACATACCAGAGCATCTAAGAGCTATGGGACAATATACAATAGTTAAGGTAAATATTAAAAAGAAAACATTGTTGATTATTTTCAGTTGCTTAGAATATAACTGATGCCTACAGCAAAAAACAGTAGCAATGTGTAACATACTTAAAAGTAAAATGTCTGACAACAATAACACAAAAAATAAGTGGGAAGAATTGGGAGCATACTGTTTCTTTCATGTGAAGCAATTCAATAATATTTCAAGGTAGACTGAGCCAAGTGCAGTGGCATGCGCTTGTAATCCAAGCTAATGGGGAGGCTGAGACAAGAGGATCACAGTTTCAAGGCTAGCCTCAGCAATTTAGTGAGGTCCTAGGCAACTTAGCAAGACCTTGTCTCAAAATCAAAAATAAATAAATAAATAAGAGGCTAGGAATGTGGCTCAGTGGTAGAATGCCTCTGGAATTAATCCCCAGCACCACACACACACACACACACACACACACACATACACACACACACACACCACACTCACTCACTCACACAAAAGAAGGAAGAAGAAAGAAAGAAAAAATAAAACAGGTTTCATTAAATTATTCAATGTACCTGATAAGGTCCAATCTTGAAATAACAGTGTTAAGCCCAGATAAAATGCATTTAGGTATGTTGGCACATGCCTGTAATTCCAGTCACTTGGGAGGCTGAGGCAGAAGGACTGCAAGTTCAAAGCCAGCCTCAGCAATTTAGCAATAGCCTGTCTCAAAATAAAAAATAAAAAAACGGGGATATGACTCAATGGTATAGCACACCTGAGTTCAATCTAAAAAAAAAAAAAAAAAAAAAGACATGCAGGAGTACCTGGGTTGGATCCCCAGTGCTGAAAAAAGGGGAAGACAAAACAGTTTTTCTAACAGATTTCATCCCATTTTAAAGAATTCTGCAGCTAATTCAGTAATTTACCAGACCACTAAAATTTCCTGATGAAAACAACCATGAAACTATCATGTGCAATTTCTGAAGAAAAAACAGACATCAAAGTTTTGATTACAAAGAAAGTTTTTATTATAACTTCCAATCAAAAGACAAAAATCATATGGCCCTTATGTTTGCCTTTGTACTTAGAATATCAGAAAACTCAGGATCAAATTTAGCTCCCAATCATAGTAGATAAGATGCCTGTATTTCAACAGTGTTTGCTACCTAGTCTTTCCCATGGCTTTAGTTTGCTCTATTTCTCTTTTTTTATTTTATTTTTTTAGTTGTAGATAGACACAATACCTTTATTTTGTTTATTTTTATATGGTGCTAAGGATCGAACCAGTGACAGCCCCAGTTTTCTCTATTTCTTTTTTAACAACCTCATTAAAAGTATCTTTAATTATAAACCACCATAATTACTTTTTAGAAAGATATAAATATGTAACTTACTTGTATAATAAATTAGTGTTACATAACATGTAATATTAAAGAGTTGTTGGTGATGTATAAACCATTCTCTTTATTAGTAATACATTCATATTTTATGCAAATAACTAAAACTTTTATAAATCATAAAGATCAAAGAAAGTCAATATAGAACAGAGCAACATTATTTACCTGTCACAAAAATCACACTTTTATAAACTGATTCATCAGGTAAACTACTGAGAAGAAAATGAAGTCTCTACAGCAAGTGCAAATTCCATTTATCTGTTGTGGCCAGTCTATCTCTGCAACAAAGAATATGAGGCAATTTATCAAAAAATGAACCTAGGGGCTGGGGCTGTAGCTCAGTGGCAGAGCACTTGCCTAGCATGTGTGAGGCACTGAGTTCAAGCCTTAGCACCGCATAAAAATAAATAAATAAAATAAATGCATGCTACTCATCTATAACTAACAACGACAAAAAAATTTTTAAATGAACCTAGTAAACAAGAGAATACTTCCCTTTGTAAAATCTAGATTTCACATACCAAGCCAGGCATGGTGGCACATGCCAATAATCCTAATAGTTTAGGAGGCTGAGGCAGAAGGATTGCAAGTTCAAAGCAGCCTCAGCAAGTTAGCAAGGCCCTAAGCAACTTAGTGAGATCTTGTCTCAAAAAACGGGAAAAAAAAGGGCTTCAGATGGGCTGGGTTTGTGGGAGAGCACTTGCCTAGCATGTGTGAAGCACTGGGTTCAATTCTCAGCACCAAGTATCAATAAATAAAATAAAGCTTAAAAAGAAAAAGGGCTGTGGATGTGGTTCAATGGTTAAATACCCCTGTGTCCAATCCCCCCTCCCAAAAAAAAAAAAAAAATAGACTTTACATGCCAGTTAGAGGCAGCCCTCCTTTTCTGAGTTCCATCATACCCACAGCAGGAATGTAACTGAAGCAATCAGCCCAAACTTCAAAAAAGGAGCCTGGTTATCTGAAATCATGCATGTCTAGGCAGCTGCTGCTCCAGAGTCCCAGGTCCCATGAAAACTGTTCGCATAACTTTTGTAGAAACATCTCCATATCCTAAAGACTGCAGCAGGAAACACAGAGGTCAGGAAATTTCCTCTCTCAAGAAGTTCCATTTGATCCTCAACATGGCAAAAAAAAATTTTAAATACAGGGAAGATGAATCACATATCTGGTATTACACTTTTGGTGTTCAATAAAAATATGCTCACAGCCAGATAAAGGGAGGAGGTAGAAATGAACAAGATAAGGGGAAAAAAAATCAGGCTTGCGGTTTTCCACATATTTGCCAGGTAAAGAAAATCAAATATAACAACACAAATAACAACCCTGAGACCAAAGTCAGGAAGCAAAAGCCATCAGTGTACAACCACAATGGGACCTGAAAAATGTAGGCAGCATGGGCAGTTTCCTGAAGAGCCCCACCAGGTAAAAAGAGGCAAAATGACTCCAGGAAGCAGTCAGCCTGCTCTCCTAGATCTTAAATCGGGGAATAAGGCACCAGATGGCTTAGCATATTCTGCTACCTTGCTGCTACATTAGCTAGCCAAGTGGGCCATTTTTTTCTCCATCAAGGGCAGAGACTGAGTTCTTTTTAATTTGTGTCACCACGTACATAGACCAGTGCCCATGAGAGGTTCTCCAAGACATCTGTTAAATTAGATGTTGACTCCTATTTATACTGACCATTACACAACATGATGACCAGGCTGTTGGCTTAGCGCTCAGTGGAGAATTTTCAAAATGTTTCACAAATATCTCCTGACAGTTATGACACGAGCTGGTCAAATGAGATGACAGGATATAGAGACACTCAGAGGAACCATTAATAACGGGAGCGTCCTGTTCCCGAGCTCCGATATCACAGCGCTCCAAGCCCTGACCCCCAGGCAAGGGTTGAGGCAACCCCAGAAGCGTGGTTCCCGCCTCCGCACACTTCCGTCCTTGCACCCTCGGACCTTTACTCGCTCACCGTGTCTCACAGCACAGGTTGTTTCTCACAATCGGCGTCTCTCTCTCTCTCTCTCGGAACAACTTATTCCTAGTCTCTCACCCTCACGATCTCTCCCTCACACACCCACGAAGGCTCTCTCACACCCGTGGTTTTTCTCACTTAAAAGACCCTACCTCAGGGTCTCGCACACTCACAAAGCCAACACCAGACCCTAGGGGTCTCTGTCTATCTCTCTCTCTCTCTCTCTCTCTCTCTCACACACACACACACACACACACACACACACACAGAGTCTTTCTCACACACTCAGTCGTACACTCAGGGTCTCCCGAACTCCTGGCGTCACCCTCAAGCTGCAGGTCCCTCTTACACTCACAGCGTCACCCTCACGCGGCTGCGGCCCGCCCCGCGCAGTTTCCGGCCGGCATCCGGCACGCGGCGGCGGCGGCGGCAGCAAGGAGGGTTCAACCCCGCGGGAGGCGGTCCTTGCCCCTCCCCGCCCTACGCCCCGCGTCCTCGCGTCCCCGCGCTTCAGCTCCCCGGCCCGCAGCCCGGCCCGTTACCTCTCGGTGGCCAGGCGCCGCCAGGATGCTCGGTCGCCCAGCCGCACGGCCTCACGGGCCGCTCAGGCCCCGCCCCCGCTCCCGCACGTCACCCGCCACCGGATCGCGACAGCGCGCGCTACGTCGGGACAGGGCTCTTTGCCGCAGCCTCTGGCGGCGTCGCTTCGGGCCCCAGACAATGCCGCGGCATCCACGATCCTGGGCCCGGCCACTACGTGCAGATTCCTGGGCTGCCCCCAGCCTACCGCGTCGAGACTGGTGTGGACCTTGAGTTGGGCCCAGCCACCCTTGTCTTGGATGGTCACTTCCAGACCCTGCACGCACTCATAGGAAGCCTGGGGGCGGGGGGCCTCCACATGGATGCTACACAATTCAGAGCTGTAGAGGGCCCTCATACCTTGTTCCCATCTGGTCCTTAGCTGGGGGACCCCACATCCAAAGAGACTCAAACAGTTCACTTAAAGAGCTCCCGACAGGCACACACCCAGGACTTATCCTTGCACACTTTGCTCAGACTCAAATCACTGAGGCCCTGGCAGACACAGTCACTGCCGCCTCCCTTAGCAAAATCTGCCCCCCCCCACCATGGCTCTGTCCTCTTTCTGCCCGACCCTGGTGGTGCCCCTCTTTGAGGAGTTGCATCCTTCTGTCCTCTCCCTCTCCCTCCTGACCTCATGGGCTCCTGGACCCTCCCCCTTGGTTTCCTGTCTACCTCAGGCAGTGAATCTACTGGGTCATTCATTCATTTCTCCCAGTTGTATGTTGACAACTGCACATCCTCTAGCTCCAGACTACACTCAGATGCTTGCTCCCCTCCACCTAGTGGTCCAGCAGCACCTGATCTCTTCATCCTCTCTGTCCCCAAGGCTACAAGCATTGCTTTTCTCCTGGGCTACAATAGCTTCCCAATCCCTATCCTGCTCTAACCCATCTCTGCAGGATAAGAAATGATCCTAAAATACAGATTGTAATAACTTTGAGCCTCCCCTAAAAACTTTTCCATTTCCTCTGAACAGCCGCAGGTGGGAGGCTGAGACAGCAGGAGCACAAATTCAAAGCCAGCCTCAGCAACATCAAGGTATTAAGCAACTGATTGAGGTCCTGTCTCTAAATAAAATACAAAATAGGGGTGGGGATGTGACTCTGTGGTTGAGTACCTGTGAGTTCAATCCCCAGTACCGCCCCCTCCCCCCAAAAAAACCTTTTCCATTCCCTGTCCTACCCACCCATAGGCCTGGGATGACAGTCTGAGGAGCCTTGATAATGCTAACTTCTTTTGTCCTCTGCTTAGAACAACTTCCATAAGTATAAAGGACTATATATACATATTTGGGTTAGTACATCTGACCCTTTACCTCCAGGAAGAGCTCCTCCAGCCTCTCTGGCCAGGCAGAGGGACAGTTCTGGACACTTTTGAAACTTGGTAGCAGCCAGTCCACTTGTCCTTGCAACAATTGCATACGTAAACCTGCTGGCTTCCAAACCTCTGGCTTTGCTGTGTCTCAAGCAACCCATCAACTGAAAGCCCACGGCACCAGGGACTCAATCAGATATTCTCCAACACTATCAGTGCTTTACAGCACCACCCTGCAGGATATATTTATTTAGCCCAGGAAACAGACTGAGGAGGGCCACGAGGCTGCCCAGGCTACCTAACGGGAACTTGTAGAGCTGGGATTTGTCATCCTTTTACAGAGGGCAGTTCTGCAGCTGGTCTCTGTATTCCCAGGTATCTTCATCCCCTCTCTGGGTCACCCCTTTTATCCAAGTCCTACTAACACGGTACTATAGTTAGTCCTGAGAGGGCGTGAGCGCCTTCTAGTGGCCAACACTGTATCAAAGTCTGGAGTGTAGGCTGAGGGGTTCTGTGAGAGACAGGAACTGGGGCTCCTATCAACTTTATTGGCCCCAGGCTTTCCACTATCAGGTTCAGTCTGGGACCCCATCCCTATGTATGTGCCCTCTCTACCATTTGTTTGGTCCCATCTCTCTTCGCCTATACCAGTCTCAGCCTAGCCTCTCTGCTTCCCTCAGTCTCTGTCCCAAAGTTAAGGTCCAGTACCTGATAACCTGCCTCTCTAGTTGTCCACACACTTCCATAACCTCCCTCTTCTCATGCTCAGAGTAGTCCAGGACACTTTACAGCATTCAGAATATTTTTATTGCCAGTATCTAGATACAGCCTGCTCAGAGCCCCATACAGGGATCACCACCCAGGAATAAAGGAAGAGACAGATGCTGGACATGTGTACAACATGGAAAATCTAGAATTGTGAAATCTGGTGGTACAACAATGCAGACCAGCCTGAAGGTGGCTTTGGACCTTGATCTCAGCCTATAGCCACATGCCCATTTGGCACCCACTGCCATTAGGCAGGTCCAGATTCTCCATCCCAGCTATCACAGGAGACCATATAGCATCCCTGGGGCAGACAGAAAACCCCTAGATGGGCCCTAGGCTCCTGGCTCTCAAGAATCTGGGCTAGACCCTGGAAACTAAATACCATTCAGCTTCCTGGGAGGAGGTGCTGGGCAGTGGGTCAGAAACCCACTACCTCTCAGCCCTGTGCCAGCCCAGCTAGGTTCTAAGAGACCCTAGCAGGATGGTAATGTGGTGGTAGGGTTTGCAAGAGGGCACCTCAGGGCAGCTCTGAGCAGCCATGGTTGCTTCCTTCAGTTCCCTAAAAGGTCATGGCACTGGGCACAGCTCTCCTTGAACCACAGTCCCAGAGCCAAGGGAGCCAGCTTCAATACTAGGACTGACAAAGCACAACCAAGGGGATCAGGGCTTCTGGGACATAGCCCCCAAAACTGAGGGAGCATCTGCTGCCTGATCCAGAGTAGGCTGCTCCTGGAGGTGAGAGGTAGGAGTGGAGTATATGCCCCTGGATCTGGGAACCATGGAAAACAAAACAAATTGCCCCTGCCTGCAGGGGGTACCAGGCTACCCCATGAAGTCTACCTCATGGCCTGAAGTCAGGCCACTGTGTCTACCAGTGAGGCCACAGGGAAGCCAGCAGCTCCAGCCACCCATGGCCAACAGCAGGCCTACTTGAGGCCAGCATGTGAAAAGGGTCACCCTGGGACCTGTGGGGGCAGGGACCATCGCTAAGTAACATCTCTCACAGGAAGTCCAAGGGCCAGTGGGCAAGTTTGGGAAGGCCATAGGGGTAGAAGGAATGTATGACCCCCAAGTTGGAGATTGGGGCCAGGTACCAACCAATCCACCCCACAGAGCCCATTTCTGAGGTCACAACAAATCCAACAGCAGCAGCATTCTTTCTATAAAGTGTCCCTTGAGTCCATGCTTATTTTCTCCTTCTTCACTACCATAGAGGAAGGATAAGAAACAGTACTTTCTCAAGGCAGATAATCCAAAGCCCAAGACCCAGGAGCTTGATGACAGTCCCAGAGACTGGGGGAAACCCCATGGCCGAGCCATTCAGCAGCCCTGCCTGGCACAGAAATCAGGGCCCAAGGAGCACACGTTTCAGATAGGCCAGGGTAGTGGCATTGGCCAGCATCTCAATGTGCTCACTGCCTGGTAGCTCCTGCAATGACACTTGGTGCTCCTGGAGGTTGTGCCAGGCCTGGCACTGCAGGACACTCTCCAAGTTCACAGTGCCATCGCCATCACCAAAGCAGATTTTAGGGTCGCGATCAGGGAAGTTCTCATAGTAGAAGGAGTCTGGTGTGGGGACACCAGTGCCATAAAGGCAGTGCAGCTGCACACCAGGTGGCACCATGGTTTCAACCAGCCCCTCTGTGTCCTGCCGCATGAGCCAGCCATCTTCAAAACCAATGTCCTGGAAGAACCGTTGATAATCTCGCAGTGTGTAGTTGGTTGTAGGTGTGTGTACAAACACCTTCTCAGGTGACCAGGTATAATTGTAGGGCAGTAGCCAGCTGGTGGAGACTGCAGACCGCTGCTGCTCCCGGATCTTCAGAGGCCCAATGACAGGGATGCGGTTGTTGTCTCCTGCAGGGAGAGGACTTCAATCAGTTCTGTGCTGATGAACACAAATAGGATGGGCAGCAGGTTCAGGACCATGTCCTCTGTTGGATCCCAGGCAATAGACACAACACAATGCCTTTATTTTTATGTGGTGCTGAGGATCAAACCCGGGTCTTGCGCGTGCTAGGCCAGTGCTCTACCACTGAGCCACAATCCTAACCTTTAAACTTTTGATTCTCCTGCCTCAGCCTCCCAAGTAGCTAAGATATTATTTCCCTTTATTTTTGCTACATTTATTTAGGAAGCGAATCCAAGCTTTGTGGGTTTTTTGTTTTGTTTGTTTTTGTTGTTGTTTGTTTTGTTTCTTTTGCATTTCCTCACAAGGGATTTAGGCAATACACCATCTCCCCTTCTTCCTAGTGATTTATTATATTTCCTCACCTGTAACTGGTACCCTCCTCCAAACATGTTATCACCACACCTGTGGGCACTGGCTTTGTCTAAGGTGAAGCAATAGGTCCTCTCTATCACATTGAACTATATACATGTTGTTTTCTTCCTAAGCTCAGAACAGAATTCAGCCAGCCTGATCTCATCCCACCTACCTGCCTGTGTACTGATCTGGTGGCCATGATTATTGAAGACAGGGCAGGAGGGGAAGCTACAGACAGAGTCAGACCTTCACCTACTGGAATGTAACACCACAAACACACCCATCAGCCAGTGAGACCTCTAGGGGTGATCTGAACTTGGAGACAGGGGCCACAATATCTGAAAACAGAAACCATATGACCTTAGCTCTGCCTGCTGTGGACTT